AGAGTGCTATGATGAAGCAATGTAGGTGGAGGATTCAGTCAAGTGGGATTCTTCCATGAAATATGAGATGGACTCGATTATGTCAAATCAGACGTGGGAATTAGCTGAATTACCACCAGGCAAGAAAGCGCTCTATAACAAGTGGATTTACAGGACCAAAGAAGAGCACGATAGGAGCAAACGCTACAAAGCAAGATTTGTTGTCAAAGGCTTTCAACAAAAAGAAGGTATTGACTACAATGAAATTTTCTCTTCAGTCGTAAAATTGTCTACAATCAGACTGGTGTTGAAAATTGTAGCTGCAGAGAATTTACATCTTGAGCAGTTAGATGTAAAGAAAACTTTCCATGGTGATTTGGAGGAAGAAATCTATATGAGGCAACCAAAAGGCTTCATAGAGGCAGGCAAGAAAAACCTGGTATGTAGGTTGAAGAAGAGCTTGTATGGTTTAAAACAAGCTCCTAGACAGTGGTACAAGAAGTTCGATAACTTCATGAATAGCAGTGGTTTTACCAGATGCCAAGCAGATCATTGTTGCTACATCAAGAGGTTCGACAACAACTTCATTATTTTATTATTGTATGTTGATGATATGCTCGTTGCAGGCTCAAACATGCAAGAAATTATAAACTTGAAGCAAAAATTGTCGAAGCAGTTTGCTATGAAAGATCTAGCGCTGCAAAGCAGATTCTTGGATGAGGATAAAGAGAGACACAAAGTTGGGGACTTTGATGTTATCACAGGCTGAGTACATCAACAAAGTACTCTCCAGGTTCAACATGCAAGATGCTAAACTAGTAAGTACACCTTTAGGTGTTCATTTTAGACTCTCCAAAGAACAATCACCAAAGACGGAGGAAGAACGTGCACACATGGTGAATGTGTCATATGCCTCAGCAATGGGAAGTCTGATGTATGCCATAGTTTGTACCAGACCAGATATTGCTCAAGCAGTGGGAGCTGTTAGCAGGTACATGAATAATCCGGGCAAAGTACACTGGGAAGCTGTCAAATGGATCCTCAGATATATGCGAGGTACTACAAACAAAGCACTCTGTTTCAAAGGTGGAGATACGATACTGACATGCTATGTAGATGCTGACTTAGCTAAATGTTGACATCAAAATGACCACTACAGGGTATGTCTATACTCTAGGAGGTACTGCAGTGAGTTGAGTTTCTCAACTACAGAAGATAGTTGCACTCTTCACAACTGAAGCAGAATATGTCGCTGTTACGGAAGCCACAAGGAGATGGTTTGGCTCCAAAGTTTCTTGGAAGAGTTAGGCAAGAAACAAGAAAACAATGTCTTGTATTGCAACAGTCAAAGTGCTATTCATCTAGCAAAGAATCCGTCTTTTCATTCCAGGAAAAAGCACATACAATTGAGATATCATTTTATTCGGCCTCTTCTGGAAGATGGGATTTTGAAGCTTGAAAAGATTAGTGGAGCTCAAAATCCGGTAGACATGATGACAAAGACGGTGACCACTGACAAACTGAAGTTGTGTTCAACTTCAGTTGGCATGCTAGAATAACAGGACCAGAAATACTGCTGCATTGATCGAGGTGTGAAGACAGATTAAAATCAGTCTTCAAGTGGGAGATTGTTGAAAGTATTGTTAAAAGTTAAGTTCAAATTTGGCAACCAACTTTGAAAAAATGTTTTTCAAAGTTTGGTTAATGTTTTTTTGAAAATGGTTTTCAAAGTTTGGTAAATGTTTCTTTGAAAAATAGTTTTTCAAAGTTTGGTAAATGTTTGATGAAAAATGATAATGGGATAATCACAATTAATCCCTAGACTAGACTTTAGGGTATTTACAAGATTAAGTCATTAACCTTTAACTATAAATACCCTAGCTCATTTAGCTTCAAAACCATCCAAAATCATTTTCTTTCTCCCAATACTAGAGAGCTTTCTTGTGAGTAGTGAATGTTTTGTAAACACCTGTAAATTTTCTCTCTTAGTAAAAGATCTGCAGCAGTCCAGAGACGTAAGCAAAATTGGATGAACTCCGTTATCAATTTCGTCTATTATTTTTCCGCTTTTATTTCGCATTCTCACTAATCTAGTTATAGGAAATTACTGTACTGTTACTCTTGATTGCGTGGTTTTTATTGGCCTATGTGTTCTTGCACCGCTTCTGCTATGATCATTTAAGATAATTAAGGGATAGGTTTTGTAGTAGGTTATATATAATCAAAGTTTGCCTATAAAGGCCATCTTACTTCTCAAATCTTCCCACACCTCCAATGCTCTTCACCACATAAAATTCTGTCTAAATCTTTGAATAATTTCAAAGTGAAGAGCGTAGAGAAATAATCACGGGTGTTTTCACAAGTGAAATGGAGATTACTTCCCAATCCCCCCAACCAAGCTATTCAAGGCCTTTGCTCTTGATTTCGACACCCTTTTCCCCAAGGCTGTCCCTAATGCAATCAAGACCGTCGAGCTCCTCCAAGGAGACGGTGGCGTCGGAAGTATCAAGAAGGTCACCTTTGCTCAAAGCAATTAACTTTTTTATTACTTTAGAACGATTATATCTTTTTAAAATTTTATTAATCTATTAACACACGTTGCATAAGTAATTGTTCGAATTATCTAAAAGAATAATATTTTTGGTAATCTTTGAGTTTGCTCGATGGATTCCTCAAGATAATTAATCATGTGTTCGACAAGGTTATGTTGGACATAGTTATCTTACTAGGCTGATAAACAAATGCAGGCTGGGGATTGAATTATTTGAAGCACAGGGTTGATGAATTAGACGAAGATAATTTGTCGTACGCCTACAGCTTGTTGGAAGGCGAAATTTTGAGGAACATATACGAGACAATCAGGTTCGAGACCAAGTTCGTAGCAGCAGCAGATGGAGGAACAATTTGTAAGATGGGTGCCAAGTTTTACACCATTGGTGATGTCGAGATCAATGAAGACCAAATCAAGGCCGAAGCCGAGAAGCGAACCGGAGCTTTCAAGGCTGTTGCAGATTATCTCTTGGCAAATCCCGACAACTAAAGCCATACGTAGCGTCAGTGGTGTGCTTTCACATGCTTTTTCAAGCAAACGAAAATTTCGGAATTGAGTTGTATTTATCTTGTATGAAAACGAAAATAATATGCTTGAAAGCATACCAGAAAGAAATTAAAATACAATTTTTATCGTTTGTATACAATTCCCACCGACTCTCAACGTCACAAAGTAACACATTCGGAGCTTCTAGAATCTCATATCTCTCAAAGGATTATATTTATTTTCTATCATCTTTAATAGGCTCACATAATTTGTTAATAAATCTATTATCATATCATTATATTTATTTATCATATTAATCTACAAATAATTATATCTTTAAATTTAATATAAATATTAAAAATTAAATTATAAATCATCATGTGTTATCGGAGAAAGGAAATCTAAAATTCATTTTCTTTCTTCTTATCTCATTTTAGAACTAGGATGAAATTATGAGAAGGGTAGAATTGCTTATCTTTGAAACTAATAAAATTCTAAAAGATAATTAAACTAAAAATAGAAGTTTGGAATTTAATTTCACTAATTTTAAATTTGTCATCTGGTAAAAAGTAATTAAATTAAAAAAATTAGAGGTAAGACTTAATTTCATTTAATTTTAAAACTAATGATTTCTTAAAATAATTAAATCAAGTTTTAACATGGTCAAAATTTAATTTTAATGGTTTCAAAACTTTTAAGGACTTAAAATATAATTAAATCATAAAAGTTTAAGTGGAACATATTCCCCTTCAACCCCACATAATTCTGTTACTGCACATCATCTTTAACTCACGATTTTTCATAAAATTATTGATTATGACTTTTCACTCAAAATAAATATAAAAAAATCGCCCACAGTTATTAATATAATTTATATTTTATCATCAACAAAAATGATATAAATATATAAATATTTTAAATTATTTATTTATATATTTATATATTTATATATTTTAAATACACAAAATATAAATACATACGCAAATTTTATGTCTCGCTCCTCTTCTTTATAGTATTAATAGTCTTATGTATTATTATTATTTTTAAAAGAACCATAGATATTATTGTTAAAACATTGGTAAAACTTTAAAATACCCTCACCCAACGTACCTACAATCTTTAATAAAATTTAATGACCCATCTTATCTATCTTTAAGTTAATTCATTTGAAATTCATTGAATACTTTCAATAGTAATAGTTAATGTTATTTTCTATGGAAGATTTACAAAATGATATCAATAATAGAATTAAATGTTATTTTCTTTATAAGATTTATATTCGAACAACTATGTCTGTAAAGCGTGTACACGTTCAAGTAAGGATGGATCGAAGAGAGAGTGGGGCGGGACGGTCACCTCATGAAAATTTAAAATTATCATATATTTTATATTTTTTTATATATTTTCTATTAAAAATTTATTTTCACCTCCTAAAATTTTATAAATTTATCATATCCTAAAATTCTCTATAAGAGGATTTTGAGACGAGAAGAAATGACAATTGACTAGGCTATTTATGTTGAACTTTAAGGGCAAATTGTAAACAACATACAAGTTTTAGGGACTAAATGACTATGAAACCATTTAACTTTTTTCAACCAACTGGTTGCCTGTCAACATCTACTTTCGGTGGCCTTTAGGTGGCTTTAGGTGGCTTTGGGGGCATCTATATTCAACACTTGTATTTTTTTATTGTTATGTTCTTTTATGTTGTTTTTGGATCTTATATTTGGTTTAGTTTTTGTTCGACCATGTGTTTTTGGACTGCTTATACTTAAATCATTTTCCTCTTTCTTAACGAAACCTCTCTTGATAACATAATACAAAGTTTGATTTCCTAATCAAAGAGTTAGTTCGTGATCAATAATTTGATATCACTTAAATAGATTTTAAGTTTGAGTTGTTTTATATACATAAAAAAATTTATTAAGAGATTAATCACGATAAAATTCGAAAAACTAGAGGTAACCAAAAATAAAACTTTGCCTTCATCTTAGACTCGAAACTAAACGGCCTATAAATATCATCTTAGTTCTCATTTCTTCAGACAACTCAAATGCTCTTCAGCTCATAAAGTTCAGTCTAATCTGTGAAGAATTTCAGGCTTATAGATAGTTAAGAGCGTAGAGAAACAACCATGGGTGTTTTCACAAATGAAATTGAGATTACTTCCCCAATCCCCCCAACCAAGTTATTCAAGGCCTTTGCTCTTGATTTCGACACCCTTTTCCCCAAGGCTATCCCCAATGCAATCAAGACTGTCGAGCTCCTCGAAGGAGACGGCAGCGTCGGAAGTATCAAGAAGGTCACGTTTGCTCAAGGTAATTATATGTTAGGCATGGTTTTGTTTGACATGATTATCTTACTAGGCTGATATCAAATGCAGGGTGGGGATCAGAATCATCAGATTACTTGAAGCACAAGGTTGATGAATTAGACGAAGACAATTTATCGTACGCTTACACCGTGTTCGAAGGCGGCGTTTTGAGGAACATATACGAGAAAATCAGGTTTGAGACCAAGTTTGTCAAGGCACCGGATGGAGGAACGATTTGTAAGATGACGGCCAAGTTTTATACCATTGGCGACGTCGAGTTCAACGAAGACCAAATCAAGGCCGATACCCAGAAGCGAGCCGGAGCTTTCAAGGTTGTTGCAGATTATCTTTTGGCAAATCCCTGTGCCTAAAATCATAGGTAGCTTCAGTGGTATGCATTCATGCTTTTTATGAAAAGAAAAAAAGGAAAAAAAAACCGTATTTGATTGGGTAATAAGAGCGATTCAATCTGGAATTGAGTTGTATTATCTTGTATGAAATTGAAAATCATAATTCAATAAGATCTTAAATTTCGAAAATTCTAAATAAATACTACTTCATAATTATTCCATACTATTTTTTAAAAAAATTTGCTTGAAAGCATACTGGAAAAGAAAATTCCCACAATTCTCGAGATCACGTACCACTACAAAACAAATCAGCAGTTAGATCTCTAGGTAATTTAATTATTAATCAAATTAAGTTGTTTCGAATGTATGGTTCATAATTCAACTTTATTAAGTTTTAAATATAATAAAATAAATGGATAGTGGTTGTAGTTGGTGATTGTAGGTAGGAGTGTATTTAGTTTGGTCCAGCTTTTTAATAATAGATGAATCGAATTATATTTCATAATTTTCTAAAAATGAAATTGAAATCAAAACAAATGAAATAAGGAACTGAAAATTTTGATTTAGTTTAGTTCGATATGATTTTGTTTTGCGGTTTTTAATATTCATTAATTTTTAAACTCAACATAGAAAAAGAAGAAGTAAACTTCGAGAGTACAAGCACACAAATTTAAATTCAAATAAAAATAATATTATCTGAATTTAACTTGGATCATTATTTTCTATTTAATTTGATGAATTTCATATAAGAAAACTGAAAATGAACTAAATTATAAAATTAGACGTCTATATCAAACTAAAACCGAATTACAAAATAAAAAGAAATTCAAACTAAATTAAGTCAATAATATAATTTAGATCAAATTTAAAAACAAATCGATTTCCTTTTGAGTCACACTGTTGACTTATTCTGATTGTTGGGAAAAATAATATTTAAATTAATAAGATTGATAATTTAAATAAAAATGAAATAAAATTTTACATATATTTGAGACGGAAAAGTTATAATGATTTCAGAGAATTAAATTATGTAAAAATTTTACATGAACTGATATATAAAGCAAACACAGAGAAGATTACATAAGCTGATATATAAAGCAAACTAAGAATTAATGGCCCTGCAATTCTTCCTAATCTCTCCATTAGACCCTGTAAGTGGACTGATGTTCCCCATCTTGATCATGGAATTGACGAAGTCATTGAAGAAAAGCTTCGAATCTCGGCTGTAGCTTTCGACAAGGCTTTTCGTCGTTGAAGCAGCCAAATCACTCGAATACAGAATCTGATCGGAGCCTAATAGACCCTTCCCATTCACCAAGTTCTTGAAATAATGGTTGTCGAATAGATCAGTTGAGTTCCTATCGAGAGCGGTGAACCTGTTCCTGTCGCCATTAACCGGACAGAAGCTTTGCAGATCGGATAAAATGCCCGCTTCGATCGTACTGTCGGGAGCACCTGTTCCGGAGAAGTTGAATAACCTGTTGTCGAAGGTGGAACACTTTGCTAATCCAATTGTATGGGCACCTGAAAACAAAAATGTATACTAAGTTCGAATATTTATTATAATTGATCGTAATAACATTTCGGTTCGACCTTTGATCACAGTATGTTACCTGATAATGATACTACATCAGTTATGTTGAGGCCAACATTGGTATACTTTGGAATGATTTCACCCAGCGTCTCAAATGGAGAAGGAAGTGCCGCATTCGCTTGTGCCGCGCTCGAAACCGTCCCGTCTCTCCATCCTAATAAAACTCTCCATGTCGGTCCTCCGCTCTGCCGGCGATTAATTTCTGATTAAGAAAAAGAAAAGAAAGTAATTTGGCTTGAAGTGTGTGTGTCAACTTACTAATAGAACAGAGTCGCGAGCAGCAATGGCTAATATATCCGCACACGAAACAACTCCACTGCAGGAGCTCTCTACTGCACTTTTTATCGCATCGATGACTTCGAATCCTCTTGCCAAGTTTACGTTACCGGCAGCAAATTTCTCGGTAGTATTGTCTCCATCCAACAAAACCTATGCATCGCAACCCTGTGAAAAACAAGGCCAAATTGTTTAATTATCACTTTTCTGGTTCATGGAAAGCATTTTCAAAGCTCACATTCACAAAGCAGTCATGGAAATGAAGCCGGAGCAGAGACGCCGCCATTCGTATCTCCGTCTTGATCGCACTTTGAACTTGTTTCCGCACAATTAATGGAAGAGATGGACATGTTTTTGACTAGAAATCGGTGGTCAGTTGGGACCTCACACCTAAACAAAGCAGCAAGCTAATCATAAGCAGACAACAACCCTTGAAGTTGTTTGAACTCTTCATAATTATTGCTATAATATATATATATCAATTTCCACACAAGTTAAAGTGTATTACAGTACTCGGTGGAATCCTAATGCTAATAAGCTTAAGGGGCAAGGATGATATGAACCAGTTGAAATCTTTGAAGTTGTATTTATAATCAGTACTAAGTGGTGGTGTGATGTATGGCGGCTTCTCAGTGCTGCTAGTGCTCACAAAGATGCAGTGAACTTGGTATTTGTGTGTGTGTATATATATATTTGCATAAACTGAGAGATTAACCCATTTAATATTGCAGATATAGCCAAGAATCGTGCATTAATAGTTATCATATGATCAGATAGCGCGCACGTACAGGGGTGTAAATAAATCCGGCTTGAACAAATAAGATTGTACCACCCGTGCTCATTTGTTTATTTTTGAATATATTCGTGTTCGGTTTGTTAGCGTTCACGAACATATTCGTTTAACATTCGCAAACATGCTCGTTTAACGTTCACGAACATATTCGTTTATATGTTTGCCAACATGTTTGTTACATTGTTCGTGAACAAGTCGATAATGAGCTTATTCGTAAACATAAACGAACCCAATACACTTATGCTTGTTTATTAAATGAATATAAAAGTTTTGTTCATACTCCTTCGTTTAACAAACTATTTATAAACAATTCATGTACCGTGCCTTCTATATATATATATAGTAATGAATTCTTCGGTTTGCATGCAACAAGTTCCTGCATTAATGAAAAAGCAATAAAGATGCAGCAAAGTGCTAACTTTCTGCTAGCACTAGGATGCATGCATGCATTAAAAAGGTGGGACTTTATCTTCCACGAGGGTTAGCAATAAGAGAGTGGGATATTAGTTCCACGAACTTATAAAATTTTAAGGGATGAAAATAATTTTTTAATAGAAAACACAAAAATAACTTAAACTATATCATAATTTTAAATTTTTAGAGAATACGACTGCCTTCGCCCGCTCCTCAGACCATCAGTGTAGCTGCACGTTGTTGATTTTTATAATGGCAGCTAGGTGAGTTCGGTTGGCATATTCTTTAGTGAACCAATTAGATCTGTAGCTTTGACGTTGATAGTGGTTGACTTTATTAATGCTGTTAAGTCATCAAGCAAGAAGGTTATAATTTAAGATTTTTTGTCATATTCATTATAAACGGAGTTTGATTTTGGGTTTTTGAAACATTGAAGAAGATTTATTTTTGATGTTTTTTTGTTTGGTTAAAATGAGTGTACTTTGTGGAGATCAATTTTCGTTTGATCCGAAAATTTTGAAATTGAAAGAATTTTCGTATGTTCTTGATAGAAAGATTCAGTTTCTATTATATGCATGTCAATAATCTCATATTTAAGACATGTAATATAGAGAGAAAAGTGTGAATTAGGTTTTACACCTTTTGAGAGCATTTTCTCTTAAAAGTTAAGAGAGAGTCAATTTTATCATTTATTTTAAATCGGGTGAATTATGTAGAGGTCGGGATGTTTGCTTGTTGCTCGAACTCGACATCGCGTAAAAGATTGGATTCACAAAATTCTCTCATCTCCTTCTAGGTGTTAAGGTATATTTTATACTTTTTACACCCGATTCGTTCCTCGTACATGGATCCTTGGTCGAGATCATCATATCAGAATAGTTTTTTCATTTCCTTTCACATACCAATGATTGGCAAATCCAAGAAATTTAGAATAATATATTGATTACAATATCAGACTAAAAGCTGCAAGAACAATCCAACAGTCCAAGCACTTGCATTCAAGGTAAATATTGATTTCAAGATTCTATAATTTGTTCGTTTGTGGTAAGCCTGACAATGTATATCGAAGGATAAGTACTCAAACTCACTATAAATACTGCACTTATATCAGATATATACATCTGAAAACATAAAAAAAAAAAACATCCTCTGCAAAGTAATCAAACCCCAAATCCTGTAGAAATCATGGGTGTTTTCACTTGTATGAATCTGAGGTTATTACAGCAATCCCACCAGCCAAGATGTTTAAGGCTTGTATCCTTGATGGAGACAACCTTATTCCCAAGGTTGTTCCTCAGGCTTTCAAGAGTGTTGAGTACATTCAAGGCAACGGTGAGCCGGGGTAGCATCAAGAAGGTCACCTTTGGAGACGGTTACATCATTTATATAACTTCATACTTTGAATCATATATATGCATATATAGTTATAAGGAAAATTTGGGTAAAAGTTATATGTTCTCAACATGCAGGAAGCCAATTCAAATACGAAACAGGAGGTTGAAGCATTAAAATAAGAAAATTTTGCGTATACTTACACTCTGATCGAAGGTGACGCATTGATGAACAAGCTTGAGAAAATCACTTACGAGACGAAGCTAGAGGCCTCTCCGGATTGGGGATCCGTATGCAAGACTACTAGTAAGTATTACACCATTGCTGACTTTGAGCTCAAGGAGAGGGAATCAAGGCCGGGAAAGAAAAGGCATTGGGAATGTTCAAGGCCACTGAAGCCTATCTCCAGGCAAATCCTGATGCCTACTGAATAAATAGATCAAGCAATTGGCCTGTTTCGCTTCGAGTTTTTAGTTTTGCATTTTGAGGTTCATATGACCTCAGACTGCTAATAAAGAGTCCAATTTATTTACTGAATCTTGTTGTGTGAGATATCCATGGAGAATAAATAGATCATTATCTTTCATTTTGAAGATTATAAAGAGTCCAATTATTTAAACTTACTCAGCAATTACCGAGTGGAATTTGAATTATTTATTTATTTATTTACTGAATCGAACCAAATAGCTTGGAAGCAAAGTGACAATCAACAGTAAGTTGCAAGAATAATCTAATAGTACAAGCACTTGAAGTCAAGGTTTTGCTTGCTTAAAATATTAGTCTATTAGATTCTCCAATTTGTTCTTTTATGAATTACAATGATGCTTTCTCTGCTAAAGTACAAAATTTCAATTAACATCTATTGATGGTTACATCGTTAAAATGGCTTGCGCCTCATTGAATCAGTTATAAAGAAAGTATCATCTGCAAAATTAATCAATTAAATCTCCCTTTCTAGTTTGATCATTTCCAATTATGGGTATTTTCAATTACGAATATGAGGTTATTACAGCAATCCCACCAGCCAAGATATTCAAAGCTTGTATCCTTGATGGACAAAACCTTATCCCGAAAATTGTTCCCGATCAGGCTTTTAAGAGTGTCGAGTTCATCCAAGGCAACGGTGAGCCAGGTACCGTCAAGAAGATTACTTTTGCAGAAGGTCAGTTCATTTATACAAACTTTGAATCATATAAATATGGTGGAATGATGTGTTTTTCGACATATAGGGAGCCGGTTCGATTATATGGTGGAAGAGGTAGAAGCATTAGACAAAGATGAGCTTGTGTACTGCTACAGTGTGATTGAAGGGGGTGTTTTGATGAACAAACTGGAGAAGATCACTTACGAATCTGTGTTCGAGGCGTCACCGGACGGGGGATCTGTTTGTAAGATCAGGTGTATGTATCACACCATCGGTGACTTTGAGATCACAGAAGAAGGAACCAAGGCTGGCAAAAAAAAAGCCTTGGAAATACTGAAGGCTGTTGAAGCTTATCTCCTGGATAATCCTGACCATTGTTGAACATATCCAATATTAATGTAAATTGCATCCTTTTCCAATCATATAATTAAATGTTGATTTCATTTGAGCTAAATTCAACAACTATTATATTATTTAACCCAAACTCCATAATGATCCTGAACATTATTGAACATATCCCAATATAATTAAATGTTGATTTCAAAATGAAAGATAACGATCACTTTATTTTGAATGGATGTTTCACACAATATGATTTGGTAAATAATTGGACTCTTTATTAGCAGTCTGAGGTCATATATGAACCTCAAACTGCAAAACTGAAAACTTGAAGGGAAACAGGCCAATTGCTTGATATTCATTGAAGTGGATGCATGCCATACTGGGATTTTCAGTAGGCATCAGGATTTGCCTGGAGATAGGCTTCAATTGCCTTGAACATTCCCAATGCCTTTTCTTTTCCGGCCTTGATTCCGTCTTCCTTGAGCTCAAAGTCACCAATGGTGTAATACTTACTAGTAGTCTTGCATACGGATCCCCCATCCGGAGAGGCCTCTAGCTTCGTCTCGTAAGTGATTTTCTCAAGCTTGTTCATCAACGCATCGCCTTCGATCACACTGTACGTATATGAAAAATTCTCTTCGTCTAGTGCTTCGACCTTCTGTTTCATGTATTTGAATTGGCTTCCTGCATGTTGAGAACATACAACATTTACCCTTTTTTTTCCCTTGTAACTACTTATGCATACATATGATTCAATATATGAAGTTAGAAAAATAATGTAACCTTCTCCAAAGGTGACCTTCTTGATGCTACCCGGCTCACCGTTGCCTTGAATGTACTCAACACTCTTGAAAGCATGAGGAACAACCTTGGGAATAAGGTTGTCTCCATCAAGGATACAAGCCTTAAACATCTTGGCTGGCGGGATTGCTGTAATAACCTCAGATTCATAAGTGAAAACACCCATGATTTCTAGTGGATTTGGGGTTTGATTACTTTGCAAAGGATGCTTTTTTATGTTTTCAGATGTATATATCTGATATAAGTGCAGTATTTATAGTGAGTTTGAGTACTTATCTCTTCAGTATACATTATCAAGCTGGCCGCAAAAGAACAAATTATTGAATCTTGAAAGAAATATTTATTGGAATTCAAGAAGAAGATTGAAATGAAAAGAACTCTAATAGACTAATATTTTAAGCAATCACAACCATGACTGTAAGTGCTTGGACTGTTAGATTGTTCTTGCAGCTTTTAGTTTGACATTTTAATCAATATATTATTCTAAATTTCTTGGATTTGCCAAACATTGGTGTCGTAACCATTTTTTTAGAATTCATTATTATTTAAAAATAATAATTATTACTTATTTAAAGAAAATTAAGATTTTGAATTAGAGTCGTCATCGAACTTTAGGTTAAGTAGGTTGAATACTAAAAATGTTTTAAATAATATAGGAAATAAAATCATTTAAAAAACAAAAGCTGGCTTGCGTTTACCAAAAAATTATTTTCTAAGATCCGGAAGTCGATTACGCGTGGGGAAGGGTTATTACCCACAACGTCCAAAATTGATATTATTCCCTTACACATTGTCGTAAATGGTGGACATTATAAATTTGAATCAATATTTAAAGTATGATCCTTTTATTGAACATTCAATAATTTATTACGAATTAATTATTAGGGAAAATTCTTTGACTTGAAAAAGAAATCTCGAGATTTGCAATATTCCTTCAGAAAAGCTATCTCATCTATCTCTTATCTGTAAAAGAATATTCTCTCATTGAATTGTTTAAAAATATTAAATCAAATAAGAAATTAATACCAGAACTTGTATGAAATAATTCATCATTTTTATCAAAAAAACATAAATTGCCAATAATTGGATTTAAATAGAACATAATAAGATAATATAACATAAAAATAAAATAAATAAAATAAAAATATTACTATCATTTAATAAATAAAAATGTTTGATTTATTTCAAATTCACCATTCGTTCGAATATTGTATTGAATCACACTTCCTCTACAAGGTAGTGCTTTTTACACTCATCTACGTCGAGTGTTCTTGAAAATGAATCCGAATAACATATTAAAATATATTAGCAGATAAAATGAAGGAGTACAAGGTAATAAGATTTCTATTTATGAAATAAATGAATCTATATAGCAATATATAAAAGGGACCAAAAATATATCCAACCAACACATATATGATATAAACGTATAATAAATATGTATGAAGAACAGAATATTTTTGTGGAATAAATGTAGTTAAGTGCCTTTAATATATAAACATTTATATTATATATATAAATATGATACTACGAATGGTAACATGAACTGTTAAAGGAAACAAACTTCTCACTTTGGACTAAAACGAATATATACAAACCTGATAAGTTAAAATACAAACTCAGGAAATTAATCATGCTTGGTAAATAAAGTTCAAATAATGAGAATAATAATTTCGGATGTACGATAGTGAACATATCGAAAAATCATATCTAATTGTGCAAACATTATATAGCATGGATACTGATATTGCAATAAATCCACAACAATATGCAAGATTAAAATAAAAACAATTAAAATGTCCTTCCAACATCATAAACAAAACAATATTACAAAGGTAACTACAGTGAATAAATAAGAACATGCACTATATAATCATGAACAAATTAAAATAAAATGACTGAATTATGAATATAACCATAACATACTTTTAAGCAAATGGGGGATGAAATTAAAACGCTAAACAACTCGTGAGTTCAAAATGAAAGAGAGTGAAAATTTCATTAATGATTGGAGTAGAAAGGTTACAAACTACAGAGGACCTCCTTGCAAAATATCCCATGCGCTGGAAGCAAACCCCGCCCCCCTAAAACTATGTCGTTTCGTGCATGGTTTATAAGACTAATTTCAAGGCCAAAAAATGGCCTTAAATCCTAATTGCTTTCACTATTCCCTTAGCCCTAAAACAGAACTAAAAGAGCTCTCTTCCTTCCCTTTTACTCCCGCCGCCGAGGGGTGACAAATCCCCCAAAGCCACCACCAATCGGTGGCGCCGACCAAACCCGAGACCCCCCTTGAAACTGAAACTAATGGAAAGGTAGAGTTTTACCTTGTAAGATGGAGAAAGAACCGCGACCACCATCCCCCAAAGGTGAGATTTTATGGGTTTTTTTTCTTTTTCGAAAATCCCTTCCCCGGCTCTTTATGTTCGAAAACGTTCTCTCTCTTTTTTTTTGGTTCGAACAGCACTCGTTTTTTTTTTCTCTTCTTTTTTTTCGAATCCCCTCCTTTTTTGGTTGTTGCATGCCCCATTTTTAAGCTGATTTTCGGGCCTCATTCGATAGGGAATGATTTCTATATATTGTAGAGATAAAATCCCCATTTTTGGGGATTTAACTTTTAATGGGTTTTTAGATTTCCTTGATTTTTTTGACTGATTTGGTGTATATTTTGCACTGTTTTGGGTCTGTTGCGGGTCTGTTGCTGACGGCGGCCGCTCACGCGCCGGTCGGTTGGCTCTCGGTGGTTGCTGCGGCGGCTGACTTCTTCACCTGTTATGGTAAAAACCCTAATTTTGAGACGATCTGGACCCTTGAATCCATCTTGATCTGACGGTTGAGATTAGGAAGCTACCTTTTCACATGATAAAACCCTAATGTGTTTTGGGTTTTCATTCTTGGGTCTGCTGGATAATATGTATTGGGTTTGGGGTGTTTGTATTTTGGGCTTATCTTGTAACTTGAAAATAATAATAAAAATAATATTAATAATAATAATAGTAATAATGATAAAAATTAAAATTAAAATAATAATAGTAATAATAACATCGGGCAAAAACGAGTGTACAGTTAGTATGTAATTAATATGGTTATGTTAAATTTTTACCATGCTTTCTTTGTATTCAGATGGTCATCCGCTGGTACGTGACACTAGACACCATGATACGATATCCAAGCAGCAAACATCCATTCAAACTCTTCACTGCTCTGATTGCATACTCCCTCTTCCTAAACCTCAAAATCAAATCTAAACACATTCTTGCTTATCTTCACCGGGATGAATCAATCAACGACATCACCGTGCCTTCCGAATAGATTCCAATATCCTTTCCAATGAAAGGTCGCTGGAATGTTTTGAACCAAGCCTGAAATTCGACGTTGCATATATATTTTCGGTCGCGGTGCTCTTTGCTCCCCTAAAACTCTAAATTCTTATAACTAAATGGAAGTGAGTGATACATGCATATATATATATATATATATAGTTTAGAGTTTGACTTACACTACTTTAATGAATAAAATGGCAACGAATGATAGATAATAGTTTAGGATTTCTAATTATATCCTTAATTTGAGGTTTGATGTGCTATTTTAGGGTTAATCCAAGGTTTATCTCTTGAAGGTTTAGGAGAGCTATCAATCAGGCATGGTGTTTTTTGTTGCTTGAAGAAGATGAACGAATATTTCGCATTTTTACACTTATGCAAAACAGAATGCTTTAGGAAACCCTCCCAAACGGGTTTGCTAGTTTCTTTAATTAATGGTAAAAACGAAAGTTGGAGTAAATTATAAAGAAATGACACTTAGGTAGCTTATTCATCAAAATCTATTATCTCTAGTTAATGGTCTAATCATGCAGATAATACTTTTATTTCACCCATGTTTTCACATAAGTACTTAACCTTCCAATGTTCACACGTAAGCCCCGAACTTTTAATCTTTACATAAGTACTGCATTTGTTATCAACCCAGAAAAGTCATTGAATTAGACATTTATATCTGTTAAAATTGGAGGGAAAAAGTGGGAAGAAAGTAAGTACCATCAGCAAAGTTGATCTTCTTGATGGTTCCAGGGCCACCATCTCCTTCAAGGATCTCAACACTCTTGATTGCATGAGGGACAACCTTTGGGAAAAGGGTGTTGTGATCAAGGACAAAGTATTTAAATGCCTTTTCTGGGGGAATTGGGGTATTAACCTCCATTTCTTTTGTGAAAACACCCATTATGAATGATAATACAAAGATTAAACACTGAGAGAATGTAATGAAGTGAGAGTGTGTTCGAGGTGTGGGAAGAAATGAAAAACTGGGATGCCTTTTATGGCTCAAATTGAAGCTTTACTAGAATCTATTTCAATTAAAAAGAAAAGTGTAATGTTGAATCTGCAAGAAATAGTCAAGAATGGCATACTGCATAAAGAATTCAACAAAATAATCTCATAGTTTGAAATGTTGCACAAAATTCCTCTATTGATTTCTCGTTTTATGCGATTGCTATTTATTTATTAATGACAAATTGCTTACGGTATTTGATAAATTTGATAGTCTAAATTTATATTTTCTATTAATTGGATTTTTTTAAGAAAAACATTCAATTACAGTATTTTTTTTTTACAATTGCGGTCTTAGTGTCCTATATATAAACAGGGAGAAAAGTGGATAGGGTACCATGTCCGTAGAATTAACGACTTTATTTATTAGACTTTCAGCTTAACCCAAATTTTTACTCGCTCTCAATGACATTTTTACAAGATCTATTCCCTTTTTTATTTAATTCCTTACATTTTTTGTTTCGTATTTTAAATTCTCACTAACGATTGATCACGTAGTTAAAAAAACAGTGTTTCATTTTAGTAGACTAACTATTAATTAATATTTAATAATTTATTATTAAATTTAAATTAGTACAGTATTATGATTGAATAAATTTTAAAATAATTATATAAATTAGAATCCAATTACTTTATTAAAATAATAATTAGACGGAGAAACGACTGGGTTTGGTTCGTTGACTTGATAGAAAAATAAATATTTTTAATATAAATTGCTATATGAATCAGGTGATATGTTATATCACTATTTGAATGTATTTTATATTCTGTAATAAGAAAATTTAAATTTTGATTTGTTTTGATAATGCATCGAAAACAATTGGCCGGCTATAACATGGAGTCATTTGACGTACACGTGTTCGATCCATATATTCGTACAATTAGAAAGCGATTCAGAGACTAACTCTATTTGACTATGTAATTGAATCAGTTAACATGTTTGTTTCATTGATAATATATTTGTTATTGATCAATTAATATACTTGATTATGTGTTATATGATTTTACATGGGTAAACTCATAATTAAGTTTAATTGGTCTTTTGCTTCAAATGTTGTTTAGTAAACATATTTGTTTATTTTCATATGGTTAAATCAACTTTGTTAATTATTGAGAATAATGGTTCTATTTAAGTGATGAGTATTATAAGAAAAATAGAACAGAAGTGTCTTTCAACATCATAGGTGTAATGACCTTGATTATGATTTATGGAGTAGTCGCTATCGATCATCGGTAAGAATACTCAAATTGAGGTTGTTGTATAGGAATGAGGTGAACAATCCAATTATTTAGACGTAATGTTGATTATTTAAACATAATTGTCTATCAAATTTTAAATATTTTATAATATTCATGGGTCAATATTGAATTTTTTATGATTTCAAGATAATGAAGTCATTGATACTTATTCAAATCATCTAATAAGGCATGGAATGGTTGTTATCTATATAGGTCTTGGGTTTAAGCACGACGTTGCAGAGATGTTTGAGTGTTGATTGTCAAATTGTTGAGAGTTTTTTTAAACAGATATCATCTTGTAATCGACTTAGGTTGTGTATTATCTCTGCGAGTATTTTGACATTTACGAAGCTTACTAATATTAAAGGGTTTGTGAGCACATAATGACATTGTTCAACTTTACGTCTTGAAAGATGGATATTAGTGATGATTTCTTTTTTATTATATCTTGAACTGTTTCTCATTTTATTATGATACACATAAGGTTAAATGATCAATTAATGAGCTTCTGATCATATGCGTTCAAGAGGATGAGAGATTACTTCAAGAATCTAGTAATATTGTACTTCTAGTTTTCAGAAATCATAAGGTAATCTTTGATAATTTTACATCTTTGTGTATGATGAATTTAATATGGTAGTAATTTCTCGTAACGATTGATGGAAATAAGATGATCAAATCCAGTGACCATCAGTTTTATTACCCAATCAAATACAGTTTTGGGCTAACAAACGACACACAAAAACATTGAATTCACACCATGAAAGCATAGCACTGACGCTATATGCGAATATAGTTTTAGGCATCAGGATTTGCGATGAGATACTCTTCAACAGCATTGTAAACTCTGGCTCGGCTCTCGATCACCTTCTTCATTTCGTCTTCCGTTATCTCGGCGTCACCGACGCTGTAAAACTTGGTCGTTATCTTAATGATTGTTCCTCCATTCGGTGTTGGATCGAACTTGTTCTCATCAGTGATTTTCTCGAGTTTGTTGCTCAAAACATCGCCTTCGATCACACTATGGCTGTAGGACCTGTTCTCTTTGTTCAGTGTATGAACCTTGTGTTTCACATAATTGAATCCAATGCCTGCATTTGTTATCAACAAAGAAAGTCATTGAATCAGACATGAATCCGTAGATATACGATGAAAACTAAGTCGACACGTATTTGTATCCACTAAAATTGGAGGGGAAAAGGGGAAATAAAGTAAGTACCTTCAGCGAAGGTGATCTTCTTGATAGTTCCAGGGCCACCATCTCCTTCAAGGATTTCAACACTCTTGATTGCATGAGGGACAACCTTGGGGAAAAGGGTATCATAATCAAGTACAAAGGACTTAAATGCCTTTTCTGGGGGAATTGGGGTATTAACCTCCATTTCTTGTGTGAAAACACCCATTATGGATAATAATACAAAGACTAAACACTGAGAGAATGTAGTGAAGTGAGATAGTGTTTGAGGCGTGGGAAGAAATGAGAAACTGGAATGGTATTTATAGGCTCAAATTGAAGCTTTACTATTGAATTTCTTCCAAATAAAAATAGAGTGTTGAATCGGCAAGAAATAGTCAAGCATGGCAGATAGACTGCATAAAGAATTCCATAAAATAATGGCCGACTCATAGCTTGAAATGTTGCACAAAATCCATCTGTTGCTTACATGTTTGATGCCATTGCTATTTATTTATTAATGACAAATTGCTTACCGAATTTCAATTCGTAGTTGAAGCTAAACTTTTTTATTATTATAATTTAATTGTATGAATAAATCATCAAATAGATTCTAACAGTTTTGAATCGGACAATTACATCTATAGAATATATTTACATTATCAATTAATTAAAATTTAAATAAATATTATTAAATAATCAATTCAACTACTCAAAAATAATAATTTGGAAGTCTGAGTAAATTTCTTCTAAGCTATTAGTTTTTATTAATAAAAAAATCATCGGATTGGCAACATATATATATATAAGAAATGAAAATTCAGAAGAAAATAATAAATAAATAATCACATGCTTGAGAAGACTTGACTATCTAGACGGCAAATATCTTAGTGAAAAAGGTCGTCGTTTGCGGTTAGTTATTTTCTTCATTGGTAGATGAACTATTATAGATTATTTATTTCGGTCACCAAATAACAAATATTTTCAATTTCATCACTAAACTTCACAACATGATAGGTATTAAATTGTTATAATAAAACATTTATCCCTCAACATTTAAACAATATGCAAATTCGATCTTAATTGTAAACAATTTAATAAATCTAGCCATTTAAATTTAGAATTTTTATCAATTTTATCTCAAAAACTCTAATAACCATTCAATTAAGGTATTTATTTCTTAGAATCGTGGTCTCAATGTCGAACCTTATACTCCTTAATTAGTTAAGGTTCGAGTCCTCATTTGGCAATTTTTATTATCCTTTTATATCATTAACTATATTATAATATATATATCATAAATCTAATGTAACATTCGGCTAAGTGGTGAATCGTGTCGTGATGCATGTCATCATCTGATTAGAAGATAATTTTTTAAAAAAATTATGATCAAATTGATATAGTGTACATAACAATGACCAAATATATAGTTATATCATTTTTAATTGTTATGTCAACTCTTCCGTTTAATATCAACGAAATGTGATTTCAAAGCTTCTATAGAAAGTTTGTTGTCATTGTCTGTTGGTTTCAAGTTTATGTTTATCATTTTCATATATATATAAGATAACAAAACTCAAAACTCTTTTATTATAATGGAAATACAGATTATCAAGACCACAGACCATCACTCTTATTACCCCCAATCACATAGAGTTTTTGGCTTAGACTGCGCAAGGAAACACGGAAACCACACCAAGAAAGTTATATATTTAAAATTTTCATGCATCTGGGTTTGCCAAGAGATACTCTTCAACAGCCTTGAACACTCGGGCTCGCTTCTCCAGTGAATCCTTGATTGCTTCTTCCTTGATCTCAATGTCGCCCAAGGAGTAAAACTTGGTCGTTATCTTAATATTTGTTCCTCCGTTTGGTGCAGCAGCGAACTTGGTCTCGTAGCAGATTTTCTCAAGAATGTTCTTGAAAAGATCGCTTTCGATCACTGTGTATGTGTATGACAAATTGTCTTGGTCTATATCATCAATCTTTTCCTTCAAGTAATCGAACCCCCAGCCTGCGTTTGTTATCAACCAAGTGAAACTTTCAATCTTGCGGAAAAAGAAAGGTACAAACAAAACTCGACTCAACTCGAAAATATCTTTTCTAATCGATTAGATTCGTAAAAACTCCAAATTGATTTTTAGTCGTAATTTCATAAACCCTACTCGATTTCGAATCATTTAAAAAGTGGTATGATAACAAAAAAAAATTGACGTTTGATTAAATAATCACTTTACTCCTTATTCTTTATAGAACATTTTGACCCTCAATATTTCATTTTAGTAACACGTTATGAGTCTCTTTATCTTAAAATGAAACGTCAAACTTACAATGCTCCAAGAAAAAGAATATTACTCAAAATAACTATTTTGTCAAACGCTAGAGCTAAATATTTCAAAAAGATAATAAGGAATAAAGTGACTATTTCGTCAAACGTTAGAGATCAAAATACTCCGAAAAAATAATAAAGACCAAAATAACTCTATAATCAAATGTTATGGGTTTTTTTAACATTACTACGAAAAAGAAACGTGGAACACACATTACCATCGGCAAAGGTGACCTTCCTGATACTACCAGGGCCACCATTTCCTTCAAGGTACTCAACGCCCTTGATTGCGTAAGGTGCGACCTTGGGGAAAAGGGTGTCCGATTCAAGTACAAAACCCTTGAATGCCCTGCCTGTAGGAAGTGGTGTAGTAACCTCCATTTCATGCCTGAATACTCCCATGATGAGCTTCAAATTATACAAAAACTAAACACAGGGAGAGAGAATTTGTGCTTGAGGTGTGGAAATAAATGACAACTGAGATGGTATTTATACACTGAAATTGAACCTTATCAATTCAATTTCTTTCGTTTATTGGGTGGTAATGTTCAAGTATCAAGAAATGGTCAAGAATGCCGTGCTGCATTTCATAAATTAATAGTTTCAAATGTTGCTTACATATTCGATTTGGTTGAAATCTGCTTACAGAATTCCTATTATAAGAAGAAGGAAAACTTTGTTTCACTAGTTTATTATTGTAACATACAAGTGTCATGAATGAAAAGTCAATCAAATGTTTACTTAAGCTGAACATTTCTCCTAAAAGTATATAAATTAGCTATTTAAGAATGAAAAATAACCATATAAATAATTTTTAGGATAATTTTCAATTACAATGAAACAGTCAAGATTACCGTACTGCATAAAGAATTTCATAACATAATGGTCGGTTTATAATTTATAAATGTTGTAGCCATCAGTTACTTCCATTGAAAAACTTACTGCGGAACTTCAATTCTAAGATAAAGGAAAACTTTGATTCACTAATGCTTGAGAACAAGGATTGATCGAGGTACGGAGAGGATTAGTCATCCTCTAAAAATTTTAAATTATCATATATTTTAAATTTTTTATGTTTTTTTTGTTGAAAATATGTTTTCTCCCTAGAATTTTTAAAGTTTACCTCCTAAAATTTTAAAAGTTTGCCTCTCTAACATAAAATTTTACATCCGCCTACTTGAAAATACTTGACTATCTAAAAAGAAAATATGCTAAATTTTTTGAAGAAACTAAATTTTATTTAAATTAAAAATAAACAAATAAAATAGAATTTAACAATAATTTATTTTATATTCCGTTTTAATATACCAATGATTTTCGTCAGTAAAATTTTATTTAATATTAAAATATAGTGAGTATATATTTTCTTTACAATAGTTAAAATATTATTTTTAATATAAACTTTTTTAAGGATTCAATTAATTTTTTAATTTAAAGACTCAATTAATTTTTCTATATTTTATAAGGACTTTTTAGATTAATAAGACCAATAACTACAATAACATATAAAATCATATCAATTGATTCTTTATCATTTATAGGATAAACAACATAGTTTATCACTAAACTTTTGATTGTATATCGTTATACTACTGCTTTTAATTTCTCTAATTATAACTCTAGACTTTAGTTTTGATTTCAATTATACCATTAGACCGTTAAAATAAAAAAAATTATATGATGACATGACTAAGCGGCAGTATTTTGGTGCGACTATTGATGTCTAGAATGATGTCATTTTAGGCATTAGACTTTAGGGGTGTATAGATTTTGCCACTAAACATTTAAGCAATTCACTTTTTGGCATCGCACTATTCCAACATATGTCGTCGGCCAATCACTATCCGTCACAACCATATTTCGCGATAATATCAATACAAAAACGTCCATATTCCACTCATTTTTTTCTTATGATTGGTTTTTCACAAAACACATTCAAAATCGATGAAATTAAACAAAAATAACACTTTTTAAGGGTTTTGGGACTTTCTTAGATTTGAGGGGTTTGTTCAAAAATATGAATGATGAGAAACATTGTTTTGAGAAGATGAATAACATACCTTAAAACTAACATCATCAAACCACGATTGGAGGATATCTAAGTATTAGCACGACGAACCTTTAAATGGATTTTTGTTGATTTTAAGTGGATTTTGTGGGAAAACAATCCATTGAGAAAAAATATGAGTGAAATGCAAACGTTTTGATACCATTAGGGGTGATGATCGGCTACCAACGATGGACAAAAAAGGTTTAATACAAAAAAATTGAACATTTTTAAAGTTTAGTAGCAAAATTAATACACTCCTAAAGTTCAGTGTCTAGTCACACCCAAACAGTGTTGTTTTGTCAACGACATCACAATGACGAAAAGATCAGTCCACATCATTATGTCGTTCAAATTTAATGGCCCATATACATAATTGAAGTCAAAACTAATTTTAGTGCTACAATTGGAGAAATTAAAAATTCAATGGTATAAACGATACGTCGTCTAAAGTTCAATGGTATTTGATGTAGTTTACCCTAATTTTTGCTTTACTTCTATTCTTTAATAATTTTCATAATAGTAATTATAATGTTATAAAAAGATCATTTTATAGTTGGTAAACTTTTTAATTATTATTATAATTTTAAGTAATTCATAACTTCAAAGTAATTTGACGACCCTTGGAAAATAAGGGTAAATTACATATATGGACACTTAAGACTTCGTGCACACCTTCCATACATCATTGTTTAAACTTAAGACCTCTAAAGAGATCAATATCCATTTTACCATTTAGATCACTTTATATGTTAATTATTCTAAATATTCTTTAATATAAATAATTCTAAATTAATCGAAATGAACTTAAAAGAAAAACTTTACAAGAAAGCTAACAACCATTAATAATGCTATATCGTAAGTACATGTATCTTCTAAAAACTTAAAAAAAAACTTAAGAGA